ATTCAACTCCCAATAATCATTTGGTATCTTTATGGTGTTCTTTTTGTCCCAAAAGTCTCAATATTGTGCATGCTTTGTTTTGGACATGTCTGGTTGTCCTTTCAGACCCAAGGATGGGTCCTAAGACATAAAAATGAGGTCCCTTTAGCTAGTTTGGTTCCTTGTTCTTTGTAGGAGGTCTTAATGGATTAAGACTATGCATTAAGAACTTTTTGGATTACCAAAGTCTTAAAGTTTGATACTTTATGGTTCTAGAGTGCTTTTGAGTCATGGATCTGAAGTTTGAGCTTAAGTGCTTAATCCATTAAGCACTTATGAAAGTTTTAAGCTCTGCAAGGGTACTCCCCGCGTAAGGCGGCGTATGCCCCGCGTACTGAGTCAACCACCTCGTAGGTGGTTAATGTGAGGCGAAGTACGCCCAACGTACCGAAAGAGTACGCCTCGCGTACGCGTTTTGTTTGGGTTTCAGACTTTGGGCTTCGGGTATTGGGCCATCTATTGGGATTTGATGCTTGGGCCCTAATAGACTATTTGGATAAGTGTGTTTTTGGCTAAATAAAGGATCATAATTTTGGATAAGCCTCAAGAAGGGATTTGGGCCCAATTTGGAAAATTGGGCCAATCATGGACCTTAAAGTAATTTGGGTCTTTGAGATTAAAGATATGGACTTGGGCCTTGGCCCAGTTAGGGAAGGAGTAAAATGGAATACACCCCAAGTATGTATCCTTAGTCAAGAATGGTATCCCAATTGTTAATTCGATGTTTGTTTATTTTGATAGTTCAGTATTTTCCGTGAGTCAGCAGTCGGAGGTTTCAGTGCATTTCGACATTGTGAGATGAGTTTTCCTCACTATACTTAGGGGTCGACGACACCAAGGCCGACCCATTTGATTGATATCCTATTGTGCATGTTATGCTATTGTGATCTGTTAGACCAGTATCCTGGTAGATAGGATAATGTTATGATTACTGATCAGTAAGATATGTTTATTTGTTACTAGCTGGTTGATAGTGTGTTTATCTTTAGTATGTGCACATGTTTGGTTGGTGGTCGAGGCTTCACTGCTTTGTGCGTAAGCCAACAGGCAGGGCTTTCCAACCTGATGGTTGAGGGCCAGAGTATTCCATCCTGGGGATGATTGGACTCATAGTATGTTGGCATTCCAACCCAATGGTTAAGGGGCCTGTGGTATTCCAACCTGATGGTTGATTGGACCCATAGTATGTTGGCATTCCAACGCGATGGTTAAGGGGCCTGGGGTATACTAACTCGATGGTTGATTGGACCCATAGTATGTTGTTATTATGCTTGTGCTAGTTGTGTTGTATCAGTATTTTGGGGAAACTCACTAAGCTTTGGGCTTACAGTTTTGGATTGTGTTTCAGGTACCTTGGAGGACCGTGGGAAGGCAAAGGCGTGATTGTGCACCTCCTCATGTTTTGTTTTATGATTTTGGGATTTCTCTGATATGAAACTTATTTTGAAAACAATTTGTAAACAATGATGGTTTTGGGTTTGATTAAAAAGTTTTAAATTTTCAAGAATTTTATGAATGTTACAACTCTACAAGTCACCTAAACAAGCCTCAATTTACTATTCAAATTACCCCAAATGACATGAAGTCAAACTTGGTCAAAGTCAACAGTCAAAAGTCAAAAGTCAACCTCAGACCGAATATGTCCTATATGCTCCAGATCTACACTCTACATATAGTATTACTTGGATTTTATAGGAGAACATAGTGTTACGCGTTGCATACCTAAATATATGCCCTGCGTACTCACGCTGAAACCAAACTTCCCATTAAGTGCATAATACAAAAAGTTAACCATCCAATTATCAGATCTGGTTTCTAATAGCTTTATAGTGGATAAAGTTTCCAACTTTATCCCTTAGGATGGTCTAAACAACGAAGATCTAGTCTTTAAGTTTCAAGGAGACCAAAAATGCATCTTTCTCAACTTAACCCATTAAGTCCAAGTCGCCAATCTTCATATCTGAATGAATATGATGTATAGATGAATAAAGTTTCCAACCTTATCCATAACAAGGTTATAAACTTTCAAGATCTATAATTTATGTACTAAAATGACCAAAAAGTGGCGAATATGACAAATGACTAGATCTATGAAACTTCCTCATGACCAAAAAGTGGCACTAAAATAACCAAGAAGTGGCAAATATGACAAATGACTAAAATGACCAAAAAGTGCCCCTAAAATGACCCAAATCCTCATGAAGTGTAGCACCTGATTCTTGGTACGTATTCTTGTATTTAATCCTTTTATTGATTTGCAATTTTGGCCTTGGACTCATTGAAAGTCCATAATTTTGTGGTTTAAGCTAGTCATAATTTTTGTATAGATCTATTCAAGATGTATGAGTGTGTATTGCAGCCGTGTTTGTATTGGGCTTGTAATGTGTGCTGCCACACATGTGTGTGCGGCCGCACACATGTGTACGGCTTCACACTTTTGTGCTGGTAGAAGGGGTACTATTTATAGCAACTGTGTTGTGTTAGATTGTACTTTTTGAGCTTGTGTCAGAACTCTGCAGTAGTTGTACTTTATCAAGATGTACTTGACATTTATTCGTAATAGATGTGTGCATGCTTGATTCTACTTCTTCTTCTACATCTCACCTTAATTGCAATTAACTTCATTGATTACTAAATTGGATCCTCATTTTTGGGACTAACAATTGGTATCAGAGCCAATTTGGTATCAATTGAAGTTATTTTTGAGTGTGAGAGTGCAAAAATTTCACTGTTTTTAAGTATTTTGATCGAAGAACTGTTGAAGGTTTGTTGTTAATTGTTAAAGGTTTGCTGCCAACTGTTGAAGGTTTGCTGCCAATAGTGTGTGCGGTGGAACGTATCCTTTGAAGAAGTGTGCGGTACCTTGTGTGCGGTTGATATTTGTTGTGTGCGGTTGGTGTTTGCTGTTGAAGTTTGTGTTGTTAGTATTTGCTGTTAAAGCTTGTGCAGTTGGTGTTTGCTGCTGAAGTATGTACGATTACAAGTGTAGTATTGGTGTTTGCTGTTAAATTGTGTGTGGTTACACGTGTACGGTTGGGAGTGTGTGCGGTTAAGATTCGTTTGCGGTTGAGTGTTAGTGTGCGGTTGAGTGTTAGTGTGCGGTTGAAGACAAGTATACGATATCAATTACTCAAAGATTGCCCAAATGGAATCTCAAAGTATGATTGCTCATCAAGATTTCGATGCAATTATGGGAACCACTACTCGTACTCCTAGATTGCTATTAGCTGAAGCATTTCCTGAATGGAAATACCGAATTGAAAAATACATCAAAATGAAGGATTTCAAAATTTGGAGAAGTATTTGAAGAGGACCAATTAGGATTACTTCTACTCTAGAAGATAGCATGGTAATTGACAAACAGATTGAAAATTACACTGATGATGACTTTGAAAGAGTTGAACTTAGGAAATCAAATGACTTGACAAATCGACCTAGATAGTTCCGTTCAGCCTGACAATACGACGCTCAGATAGGTTGAGCAGAGAGATATATATGGGAATCTACTCATCACATTAAATGAACTCGTACTTCGAACTGTGGTTTAACTTTTCCTCGATGTGCAGACTCTGTCCTTAATTCTGGTTGGATGGGGCGATTGGTAAATTCCGATAAATTAGGTTTGTAGAAAATCGTTTTCTTTCTTTCTATCTATTAGTCATATGTTGTCTCCTTTGCGTGACTTCAAATCCGACCTGGTACACAACATATGCAATTCTATTTCTCTGCAAGTTATATATATGAAATTCTTATTATCTGTTAGCCAAATGATGTCTCTTTTGCGTGACTTCTAATCCGACCTGGTACACAGCATATATGCAACTTTCTTCTTCTCAACCCCTCTGAAGTAATAAGTGATAATAATCTACATCTATCTTCTCTCTTAATGATTGTCTGCTCACCCGGTGTAAGGAGTACTCTAGAAGTCTTTGATTACTGGGGCATATCAGGAAGCGGGAAACATGTTCCAGTACAATTAAAATTGAACACTCAAAGATTGTCTATAGATCTCGCTGCTTAATTTAGGTGGACAACAATATCCCTGGTCATCGTCAGCTGAATGGTCCTTAAGATACAGTATCTAGAAACTTAGGATCAAATATAATATCTAAGAACTTAGGATTACATTGTCTTGTCACTTGTAGTATGTCCTAATTTTGTCACAATTTTTCGTGTTTAAGCGGACAACAATACCGACGATCGAACAGACAAAGACGTGAAGATAGAAGGTACCGACAAGCGGATAAAGGCTGTCTAAAAACTTTGATCCCAAAATTCTAATAGGTTAAAACAATTTATATAGGTTTAAATTGAATTGTTTATTCCTTGTCGTTAATAATATTTCAAAATTTTATTCTACACTATTTTTAAATTTTTATTTTTTATTTTTTATTTTATTTTCAAATTTTAATTTTAATAATAAGTTTTAGTTTATTAGGAATTTTGAAATTAATTTCACATTAATCCTCAAAATAATTCATTTTGAAAAAATGGTGAGTGAAAGGGGCATCGACGTTAATGATTAAAAGATAAGGGGGAGAAGTTGTAAATTTTGTGCATATATAAAGCGTGTGTGCGGTGAGCCTTTTTCACCGTCATTTACTTTTGCCTCAACCACATACGCACACTGTTTCTCCCTAAATCTCATTCTTAATTCCAAAAATTTCTCGTGAAATCAAAGCTTTGACTCGGTAAATTCTTATGAACTCGGTAAAAATTTCCATTATTTGCTGTTGGATCTTGATTGTTTGCTGTTGGATCTTCATAAAAAATTGTTTGTCTTTGAAAATAACCGCACACGGTGTGTGCGGCCGCACACAAGCGTGTGCGGCTGCATAATTTTGTGGATGTGCGGTTGCGGCCGCACACTTGCACGTGTGCGGCTGTGTGTAATCACGTGTGCGGCTTCATTTTTTTATTGTTTTGTCCTAATAACTTTGTGTGTTAACTTTCAGATTAACATGGGAGACATGGAATTTGCTAAAGCTCATAATTCTGCAATTTTTCTCAAAGACCCTCCTGCAGTCCACAATGACTTGAAATTCATTGTGGATGGCTTGAAGAAATCCTGTTTGGTTCATGCTCTAACTACAAGTCTTGCTATCTACCAAAGTTTGATTAAGGAATTCTGGAGGAATGCTGTTGTAAAGAAGAATGGTCAGGGTGAAAAATTCATTGAAACAACAATCGAAGACAAGAAAATTCAAGTAAGAGAAAGCATTATTAGAGAATCTCTCCAAATTGAGGACAGACCTGAGTAGCCCATGGAGATTGATGTTCAGCAAACTCAGGAAGTATTAGAGCATATGGGATACAAGGGAACTTTTCCTCCTACAATTAAGAAGCTACTTCCTCCTTGCTGGAAGTACTTGGCTCATGTGTTCGTGAGCTACATTTCTGGCCGAAGATCAGGAGCAAATGAGATTTCTCTGGCCAACACTGGTGCCATTGCAGCATTGGCAGCAGGTTGTAAGTTCAATTTCTCAAAATTTATAATGAATGAAATGATACTAAATCTTGAAGGGAGCAAAAGAGACAAATTTTGGATGTATCCAAGATTTTTACAAATCATCCTTAACGTAACTCACCCCGAGCTGCAGAGAGGAAATGATACTTTGGATTTCAAATCCATTGGTCCAAGTGCCTTTGGACTAATGAAACAAAAGAGAGGTGGGAAGTTTGTATTTAAAGGAAAATTTCCATTAATAAAATTTGGAATTTTTAAAGAAGATGTTAGAGAAAATCAGAAGAACAATCAATGCCGATGGAAAATGAAGATATTTCTCACTCTCCCCCCGAGCCTGACGTGGAGGAGATTCATGACTCTCCCACAGCTTATGTAGTTGATGAGCATGATAATCAGAAAGAAAATGATTCAAAATCTTATCGAGAGGATGATGACGATGATCTTTATGAAGATGTGGAGTTTTTAAAAGAAATCGACTTTACGGGAATCAATGACGACATTCCAACAAACATAGAGTTTGACATTGGTGATGAAGATTTTGATCCTTTTCTAGATATTCCCAGCAGCCATGTTAATAAAGTCAATGAAGTTGCTTCTTTAGCAACCAAGACTAGAGATGGAGGAAATGTTTTCAAGATTCTATTCTCTACTTCGAAGCCCTTGGAGATCGCACCAAGTCAAGGAGATGTGACATCAGAGATTCCTCCCTCTGTGCCACTTATCTCAATTTCTGCTCCAGTCAGTTCTGACTCAACTGAACCTCAGACTTCTCAGTCTTCCATAAAAACAAGTCAACCTCTTGAAAGTCTGAAGGCACCTGCTGTAAGATGTGCTCCTCAAGTCCTTTCAACAATCACTGCTACCTCTACTCACTCTCCTCCAAAGAAAACAGATGAAGGTCCAAGTACCATATTTGAGACTGGTGGATCCTCGTCCATTCCATAATATTCTCCAACTCGACCTTCTCTTGATGAAGCTTCTATTAGATTAGCAAAACATCTGGCTCAATCTAGTCCATCCTCTTCACGCGGAAAAGGAATATCATTCAAGGAGGGTCGATCAGGTGATGACAAATCTTCTTCGCCTTATCTTCGAGAGGAGATTGGGATTCTCCGTCAAGAGCTCATCGAAAAATCAATTCAGATGGATCAGCTTTCTGTATACATCTTTGACCTCAGGGCAAAGGGTGAAGAAAAGAACAAACAAATCAATGATCTACAAATGAGTCTTGGATATGTTCTTGCCAATTATTTCAATCTTAAGAACGTGTTGTACGATGCTTTTGGTGAAAAAGTCAAAGCCCTCTTCCAAAAGCCTCATGAAGTAGTTGATCCTCCCTCTGTTCAATCACCTCCTGCAACTGATGATCTACCTGTCAACCCACCTGCTCCGAGAACAACTAAAATTGTCAATAGGTTTGAAAAAGAACCAGAAGGAAGCAGAGCCAAAATCACAATCAAACAGAGAAACATAATCGTATCTGCAAATCAACAAGAAGGTCTTTATTCATGAAAAATTCCAATGAAAATCGCAAAGCAAAAGACCCTGTCTTAACAGTAACGGATTTGAAGAAAAGAGAGTTTGGTGATGAATATGGTGATAGGACAGGTATCCGAATGTGGGCCTTTGATCCAGTGAAGAATTTGTGGGTTGTAAAGCGAAAATTAGGAGCATCTGAATGTTACAAAAGCACCCATGATTTCAACTCTTGGACCAAAACTGATCTAGCCGAATTATCCAGGGCCCCATTCCACAATCCCTCCGAAAATCCCAGTGCTTCGAATTTTAAAAGATTTCTAGACAGACAGGTCAGAGAAAACTTTCCATCAATGAAGACTGCAAAAGCTCTATATAGAAAAGATAAAGATGTTCTTGATCCAGAATCAGGCAAACCCATGAAGATCATACTCTGGCCTGCAACTAAGAAACAACAGGAAATTCCTATTCCTCAACATTTTCATGAGGGATATCTGGATAATATTGAATTTTGGGCCTATGATGACGAAACTGCAACTGCAGCTATCAAATTCAAGAATCGAGAACATATTTTGAGATTGATTAATGCTAAAGATCTTCTTCGTTTCAGAGAAAGGGATATACGAACTCTGGCCAGTCATCAAATCATTTGCAGAAAAGATGTCATGGAAGCTGCTGCTAAAGAATTCACTGCAATGGTGGCTACCATCATAAATGGAAGATTGTGGATGGGATCGATGGGGAGCTCAGATCTGAGGTTGTTTGAGAAGCTTGCTGAGAAGCCAAACGAATGAAGTTCAAGACTATGCTAGTCTCAAACCAAGGGGGAGATTGAAAGTCCATAATTTTGTGGTTTGAGCTAGTCATAATTTTTGTATAGATCTATTCAGGATTTATGAGTGTGTATTGCAGTAGTGTTTGTATTGGGCTTGTAATGTGTGCTGCCACACATGTGTGTGCGGCCGCACACATATGTATGGCTGCACACTTTTGTGCTGGTAGAAGGGGTACTATTTATAGCAACTGTGTTGTGTCAAATTGTACTTTTTGAGCTTGTGTCAGAAATCTGCAGTAGTTGTACTTTATCAAGATGTACTTGACATTTATTTGTAATAGATGTGTGCATGCTTGATTCTAGTTCTTCTTCTTCTACATCTCACCTTAATTGCAATTAACTTCATTGATTACTAAATTAACTCATGATTTTACCTTACGCTGATTCGCTTTAAAGACTAATTTTTGTTTTAGGATAGTTTAAATTTGCGCATTTACTTTCGTTTCTTTCATATGCACAAATTTAGGGGGAGCAATAAAAACAAAACAAAAAATACAAGATTAAAAAAACATTAAAAAAATAAAAAAATAATATATTGGTTATGGAATGTGCTTGAGGGAGATGTTTTGGGAAGTGATATGATTATGTGATAACAGGCAACCTGAGTCTGCGTAACGTACCCAAAGTTGAAGGGTCTATGCTCTGGTTTGATGTGTCGGTAGGCACGAAAGATTCTAAATGGACATGACTAGGCAAAATTAAACGTAGGAAATCAAATGACTTGACAAATCTTGACCTAGATAGTTCCGTTCAGCCTGACAATACGACGCTCGGATAGGTTGAGCAGAGAGATATATATGGGAATCTACTCGTCATATTAAATGAACCCATACTTGGAACCATGGTTTAACTTTTTCTCGATGTGTGGACTTTGTCCTTAATTCCGGTTGGATGGGGCGACTGGTAAATTCCGATAAATTAGGTTTGTAGAAAATCGTTTTCTTTCTTTCTATATGTTAGTCATCTGTTGTCTACTTTGCGTGATTTCAAATCCGGCCTGGTACACAACATATGCAATTCTATTTCTCTGCAAGTTATATATATGAACTTCTTATTATCTGTTAGCCATATGTTGTCTCCTTTGTGTGACTTCTAATCCGACCTGGTACACAACATATGCAACTTTCTTCTTCTCAACCCCTCTGAAGTAATAAGTGATAATAATCTACATCTATCTTCTCTCTTAATGATTGTCTGCTCACCCGATGTAAGGAGATACTTTGGAAGTCTTTGATTACTGGGGCATATCAGGAAGCGGGAAACACGTTCCAGTACAATTAAAATTGAACACTCAAAGATTGTCTATAGATCTCGCTGCTTAATTTAGGTGGACAACAATATCCCTGGTCGTCGTCAGCTGAATGGTCCTTAAGATATAGTATCTAGAAACTTAGGATCAGATATAATATCTAAGAACTTAGGATTACATTGTCTTGTCACTTATAGTATGTCCTAATTTTGTCACAATTTTTCGTGTTTAAGTGGACAACAATACCGACGATCGAACAGACAAAGACGTGAAGATAGAAGGTACCGACAAGCGGATAAAGGCTGTCTAAAAACTTTGATCCCAAATCATTCTTAAAGTTAGATATCATTCTATTTTTGTTAAATTTGTTCATAGTTTTCCTCTGTGCACAAATTTTAGGGGGAGAATTAAAAATAATTCAAAAATCAAACAAAAATCAGAAAATTAAAATCCAAAATTAGTGTTATTTCTTGTTCAGAAAAATCAGAAAATCCAAAAATATTTTTGTTTCTATTTTTATTTTGTGTGTTAATTTTTCTTTTAGTTTTGTTTTGTCTTGAAAAGTGATTTCAGGTATAGATAAGACTCATGGAGTTTGTGTTGAATATTTCTGAGCCAAGGCCTTATCTGTGAGCATCTAAGAATTCGCATTCGAAGGAGCAAGAAATGAAGATTATTCTTTCGACATTCCATCCTTCAACCCCAGAAGCAAGGTGAAGCTGAAATTGAAGAATATTTGACAGATTGCATTGAATCCTCTTCAATCAGTCAACTGCTATCTATGAACCTACTGAAGTGATCCAGAAGATTCGTTCTCTCTGAAGATTCTCATGCTGAAAGTGCTATCTTTTAAGAATCAGTACATCAAGCCTCCTCACCCAATGTGCGTTCAATGTCAAATTATGAAGAAAAGCCCAACCACTCAATACGAAGTCATTCATTGAAGATTCATCAAGTTCATCTTGAAGCTGTCTAGAATTTGAAGATTAATGCTGAAGTCAAGCTCCCAATGAAGATTAACAAGAAAAGCCAGCTACTTTTTAGGGGGAGTTTGTTGGGCCAGTTAGAAAAGAAAGCTATAAACCAAGGGGGAGATTGTTGGGTTAAAAATATGGTTTATACTTTGCTTTTCTAGGAAAATATATTTTTATGTAATGTTGTATGTGTTTATGGTTTGTGTGTACGGTCGTACACGTGTGTACGGCCACACCCTGTGTACGGCCGTACACAGGGTGTGCGGCTGTACACATGTGTATGGTTGGAGGTCCATATAAATAGAGGAGTGCATGTGGGATTGTACGGTTGGGAAAAGAAGAGGAGAAGAGAGCATCTTGTAGAGAGAGAAAGTTAGAGAGAAGAAGTGTGTGTGAGAGAGAATCTAGTGTATGGAGCATCACTCAATATCATCAATACATCACTAGATTTATCTTAATTCTTCTTCTCCTTCTCTTCTATTTGATCTGAAATCATCCAATTGATTGGGATTCCGCACCATCAATTGGATCTGATTGATACACAAGCAATTTTGGGGACTTACACTCGACGAGTCGAAGGACTGACTCGCCGAGTAGAAGCGGGATGAGACGCGAAGTTTAAGTTACGGACTCGGCGAGTAGCCGCTGTCTGGACAAAAACCCTAATCCAGGGGTTTGCACCCTATTTAAACACACTAACTCGGCCTCCCTTGTCCTTAACACTTCCAGAGAGCTGTTGAGCGAAACCTAGCCCCACCATTGTTCTTGTGAGTGATTCTTGGCTTTGTGAAGGAAGTTTGGAGCTTAGAAGAAGAAGGAGGAGGTTGAAGAGTGCAAGGAGGGGAAGTAGATCCGAAATCTACACTGTGAGAAGCTTCCATTCAGGTAGAAAAGTTCATACCTTGATCACTAGTTCATTAGATTCCTTTTTGTCCCTAATTGATGGTTTTCAAGCCCTAAAACCTCAAACTCCATGTGGTTATGCTCTATATTCTGAAAGGACTTCAGATCTAGACCTTATGGACACCTTAGAAGTGTAAAGTCTCTGTGGTTGAAGTGATTGAGGTCCCTATTGAGTGTATGACCTCATAAAGAGCTTGGAATTGACTTTTGGAGCTCATAGAGCCATGCATGCATGTAAAGTTTGCAACTTTACGTGATAAGCATACCTTAGGAGCTTAGATATATGGTTTGGAACCGTTGCATGTCTCAGATTTGGTCTGTATGGGAGGAGGGTTGAAGGGACTCGACGAGTTCCAAAGTGGACTCGGCGAGTTCTATGAAGATGGTCTTAGACTCAACGAGTTGGATGAACAACTCGACGAGTCCTTTGAAGATTGCCTGGAACTCGACGAGTTGTTCTTCAAACTCAGCGAGTCATATGAACTGTTACTGAGTTAAGAGGGGTTTAAGTGTAGAAGGTCCAACCCTTCGTAGCTGCAGGCTGGATTAGCAATTTAACGTGTAGCAATAGTCCCAGAAACCCAAATCCTCAAGATGGATGCTCTGGTGAGGATTTGGAAGCGAGTAGGAGATCTGCTCGGGGGACTCGGCGAGTTTTTCTCAGACTCGGTGAGTCGGATTGCGAGTCAGTCTAATCATCCCAAGTAGTGAGTTAAGGGTGACTCAGTGAGTGGGAAGAGGGACTTGATGAGTTAGTACTGGGATAGTAGGAGAGGGACTCGGCGAGTCTAAGCCATGACTCGGTGAGTCCAGTCAACTAGAAGTTGACTTTGACCAAGGAGTTGACGTTAGACAAGGGGTAGGTTAGTCATTTGACCTAAGGGTATTTAGGAGTGACTAATCTATGTTTATGGATTTATAGTCGGATGATTGCCGGTGCAGCAGTCAGTCGTCTAGCAAGCAGACTTTCAACAACTACTTTTCGAGGTGAGTTACCTTCTAGTAGCGGTGGGTTTACGGCCACAATGTTGGCCCACCAATAGGAGTTGTACGTTAGATGATTGTCTTTGTGATATTCATTTAGGTTTGCTACTACTTGATATGTTTATGTGCTAGTATGTTATGATGTTATGTGATAGTGGTAGTATGGGTGAAATAGTCCCCGGTTACCGGTCGATAGGACCGAAGGGGTAGTTTAGTACCCAGCGATGCAAGCCATATTATGATATGTGTGATATGATATTATGTGGTAGTAGTAGTGGTGAAATAGTCCCCGAGTATCCGGTCGAAAGGACCGAAGGGGAGGCCAACGCCTAGATATGCTAGGCAGTATCCGGTCGAAAGGACCGAAGGGGAGGCCAACACCCAGATATGCTAGGCAGTATCTGGTCGAAAGGACCGAAGGGGAGGCCAGCACCCAGATATGCTAGGCAGTATCCGGTCGAAAGGACCGAAGGGGTAGGTCGGGCACCCAAATATGCCTGATAGTATTTGTATGTTATGTGATTGTATGGTATGTGGTACGATAGGGGAACTCACTAAGCTTCGTGCTTACTGTTTACAGTTTTGTTTTCAGGTACCTCTTCTTCGAAGGGGAAGGAGCTGGCGCGGTAGCAGCACATCATACACACACATTGTTTTCCGCACCATGAGTTATTCTAGGATTTTGTACTCTGACATTATGGTTGTTTTTATGTTTTGGTTTTCAAACACAAAAATATGTTTATGAAATGATAGGATCAAACGATGTTTATTCACAAATGTTTTCCAAAGTATTTATTTAAAAATGAAATTTTTGGACGTGAAAATTGGGTCGTTACATGAAGCTTCCTCCAAAACCTGGAGGTGAAATGGACATCGCGGTCAGAGACCAATAAAACTAGAACCCCATGACGAGCGACCACCTCCATAATGTAGATGTCGACTAACTCTCGGTGGGAATGCTCTCTAAAATGGGGATGCAATAAGCACTCTTGGTCAACATGTTAACAATAACCCAGATAGAATCAACACTATGTGTCGTCCTTGACAACTTTGTAATAAAGTCCATAGTGATCTCTTCCCACTTCCACATGTGAATGGGTAGTGGCTGCATCTTTTCATGGGGTCTCTGATGTTCGACGTTGAATTTCCGACAAGTCAGACACCTCCATCAAGCGTGTTATCTCACTATACTATGTATTACAATATATATATTCATCTATGTTAGGATATAATAGCTACTAATATAGTCTATAGGTGCTTAATGTTAGTGTACTTGAAGCTAGCAAAGTAGAAAGTATAGTATCTATGTGCCCATACTAGTAGAGCCGACAGTGTAGTCTCTATGTGCGCAAATGTTGTTGCATCTAATTGATTTGTTACGGTTAAGTTAGGGGTTGACGGGGGAACGTTGACAGGCCGGGAGCCTATAAACTTGTGTTTTTACGACGAAATGGCAGGCGAGCTGTATGTCTAAATACACATATTATTGGTGGATCGACAAAAGGTCGTGATCTAATCAGTGGATCGACGAAAGGTCGTGAGCCAATCGACGAATCAGTGAAAGGTCGTGAATTATTATTTGCATGCATGTATACAGTATATGTATTGTGATATATGGTATTTTGGGGAATTCACTAAGTTTAGTGCTTACTCAATTGTTTACAAATGATTTCAGGTATTTCTTCGGATCGTGAGAAGGGCAAGATTTGACTGTACACACTCACATTGACATCATGTTTTCCGCGTAATTTAATTATACTCTAATTTAATTGAATAAATAAATATAAAAATTATGGTAAAACATTCGGGACGTTACATAAACAACTTTTCTATATGAAAAGGAGGTAATTAAACTTAAACTTATTTTGTTTGGACGTTCAAAGGATATTCATGAGAGGTAAAGCCAAGGCCAAAGCTGGTTCTTTTTAAATGCCAAAAAATGATGTAATAAGCTTTAATGGTTGAAACATGTTGTTATGGTTTTCTTAATATTTCTTTCTTCATGGTAGTTCCAACTTCCAACTTCTCAAAAGGTTAATGTCTAGAAGTTGTAATCTTCTATAATTTTGTACTTCAATGTTCATTTGCAATAAAAGTAGTTGACAATCAAGCACTTGGCACTGATTTCTTTCGAGGAAGTTTACATGTGGTCTTCAGGGTGGAGTTCACATTGTAAAAACTGAAAAGGCCGAAGAGATTGATGTTATGAAATTATTTTCTACTTACTTTCATGAGGAAATGTTTTTTTTTTCAAACTTTTGCAAAAAAATGATAATTTAGTGTTCTTGTAGGGAAGAACATAATCTTGTTACTAAACAAAATGGCCCCAAGGCAAAGTTGTAAGCAAGGTTGACATTACTTATGTTCTCCTTCATATCTTATTTTTATCATTAACAACTTTTACTTTTTATAATTTATCATTGGTTGTTTTTACTTTTTACAATTTTTTAAGATCCGGGATGAACCCTTATGACTTTTAATAAAATTTTATCGAAACATTTTAATTTCAACCTGAGTATTAACGCAACTCTTCTTTTCAGTATTAACGCAACTCTTCTTTTATACAGGTTTATTTGTGCTCTTTAATAAAATTATTTTAGCACACATCTAATAGCCACAAAGCAGAGTTAGAAAGGATCGATTACATCAATTTTGATGTTTGTGTAACTATGAAGGTTCATCTTTCCAATACTTTGCAACTAAATAGAAATGTTGGTAAAGCTTTCTTCGTGATCGTTGTTTGAGAAACTCATATTCAAGCAACTATAATAAAGAGAATTTTGGATTTGGTTGTAAATGAATAACTAAATGAAATACCACATGTTACATATGGAATGAAAACCTAGTTTTTTGGTTTCCTGAGTGTGTTCGGAATGTCACTCCTACATGTACAATTTTGCCTATCATACCCGAAATTGAGTAGGTAAGTTGGAATATACAATGTCAGATTTAGGATTCCAAACTATACCTATCACTAACTTTTTTAGAATGAATAGTGGTTATCCGAAATGACTTAAGATGGTGGTCATTTTTACAAATTTAGTTTTATTAAATTACTCATTATAAATTACTGTTTATAAGGGTTAATTCTATTTTTATTTTTCACAAACAATATTTGTTTATTTAGAAACTAGCCATTACCCGCGCACAGCGGCGGGGATAAATAGCTTCTTTCAACGATATTTTTTTAAGAAAAATGTTATGTTCCAAAAGAAAGTTCATGTCGTAGGTGAGAGGAAGGGCGGTAGTCGTGATAGTGGTTAGTTGAAAGCGAAAGGAGGCAGAGTGGCTGTGGTGGTGGTGGTGATACTATCTTGGTTACTGGTTAGGTTCTTCGAGAGAGTGTGCGTATATTTCTTACTTTGAAGGGATTACGAAGATAGATATTATGAGATGGCTTGTTACCAATGTGAGAGAAGAGATCCTTTATAAATTATTGGACATTGACCGCTTCAAATGGCTGAAGTGTTGAGATTGACGGGTTCAATTTGCAAATGAATTCTTCTATTAATTTGATACGAGATTTTTAGGGGATAAATGATAGGGTTAAAGTTTTAATATTATTATATTATAAATAGGTTGTACTTCAAGCTTAATAGTTTGGACGTCTTAAAAAAATAATATTATTATATTTAATCTATTTATAGAAATATTTAGATTTCTTGTAATATTTAATCTTAAAAAAATAATATTATTATATTTGATCTATTTATAAAGATAAAAGAGTGTTATCTACAAAAAGTATTTCACTAAATTTTCTTGTGTAATATTTGCATTGATGAAATGAATTTGATGATACGCATCAAACAAGAGCCATTTTAACAACGCAAGAACGGCTAAATGTTCCATCTCCACCCCTAAATCGACAGACCTCCTCCAGGAAACGCTTTTGATTTCCTGCCACACCTTCCATCCTTTCGTACCTTGTTTCTCCAATCTTCAACAACTTGTAGTTTGGCAGCACTACAATCTCCGTCGACCATGCTGCGGAGGTACAATCACAAATTCCATTACTTCATTGCTATGCGTCAATAGTTAACATATAGTTTAGTTTCTAATTCGAATGTTGCTCTAGGGTTTTTTATGGTCGTATACGTGATTTGATTATTTTGTGAAGCTGTAAGTGCTTCAGGATTAGGGTTTAGTGTTCTTAATTAACCCGCATTTGTTACCTTTCTCTTTTATCTTTGAGTTCTGGATTTTCCTTATTTTCATTCAAACGTAGTGATCCTGAAACTTGAGTGAATTACCAGCAATGTTGAATTTGTAAACCTTCCATAGTTTAAATGTGTATCAAAAACAGGACAGATAATCTTTAGTCTGAATTTTCAGTCAATTTACTGGTATCGTTTTTCTTCTGAAGGTCTATTTTGGAAATATCTTCTCGTCGATCAGTTGGAAGGATTTCACCACGAATAACAACTCAGGCATGTTTGCGTACCTTATTTTCTATCCTTCTTTATGCAAAATGATTTAATAAATATCTATCCTGAACAGCATTGTTGAGCTTTATGGAAAACGTGAACCAATAAACATATTCAGTAAACCTATATATTTTTGATAACTCCTATTAAGAAGTCCTGTATTCTCTAGAATGCTCTTATCTCTTGTAGAAGGTAAAGGTTGAGTATACTGTTTTGAACTTGGCAAGTTATTACATTAGGTTAACATGTCTATCTAACTCAACAAGTTCTAGAAAGAGAAAGTTGGTTTAAGAGGTGCAAATGAGGACTTTTCATGTAAAATTGACTAGCTGGTTACTTTTTTAACCATTTGTTATCATATTTCTCATGCTTATTTTCCTATACTCTATATGTATGCATATATTTACTTGTTTGTGTAAAATAAGAAAGTATAGGAAAGTCCTGTATAAATACTTCAATGCAGATTGTTGAAAACATATTGTTTACACTCTTATTTCTTCATGGCTGAAACACTTGTAGCAGATACCATTGTATCTTTCCTCTAGGAAGGAATTCTCTGCTGCATCTCAGTCAAATTCACCAGAAAATCCACCAAACTCTGGGGCCAATTTGTCCAAAGTTTTTATAGGAAGTATAGCCTTAGGTGTTGCTGGTATAACAGCTTACCAGACTGGCTACTTTGATAAACTATTAACCAAGGAACAGAATAATGATCTTAACACAAATCCACTCCCAATTGTCCATGAAGAACCTGAAAAGTCAGTGTCAGAAGAACAAGTTGCTGTTGAAAATGTTAAAGATACTGAGATTTTAAGTCCACCTGTTGACAATGGTGAAAAGGGAATTGAAACTGATCCGTATTATGGCAAAAGGGAAGAAGAAAATCAGTCTGAAATTGAGAAATTACCAATTTTGGAACCTCAAGATGTTATTTCTGGACAAGAGGGTAATTTGCCAATATCAACTTCTGATAGTTATGATGCAATAGCAAAGATTCAAGAAGATCTTGGTGCAAATAGTCAAGATTTGAAGTCAACTACAGAAGAGCATGAGGAAGTTCAAAGTAGCTCAGTACTGAATGAGGTTGCTCCAGTTCTTGAAGCAAATGAGATAAAGTCTGAGGTATGTTTTTGTTTTTGCATAATGGTTGTAGAGCATTTTAGATGGTGTTTGGTATGATGGAATTGGGAAAGGAAAGGAATGGAATGGTTGATTCCTTTGAAGGAAAGTGATTCCTTCCATTTTGTTACTTTTCATTCATTGGTAAGGAGGTTTTGTTTATTCCAGGGGCAATCTCATAAAAGACCTTATATTTGTGTTTTTTTCAGGATTAAACCTCAACTTTTTTTTTGCCGGAAAAAGACCTTGTATTTTTTCCTTTTTTCCAGAAAAACCTGAAACTGTCTTTTTTTTTTTTTCCCGAAAAAAAACCCTCAACCTTCTAACTGCTTCCAAATAAACCCTCAGCTTTGTTAGTTTTTCTCGAAAAAACCCTTGCATTTTACAAATTTTTTTTTTTTGAAAAAAATGACTAAAAGGGCCAGATCAGAAAAAAGGAAAAAATACAAAGTCTTTTTCAGGCAAAAAATAAATTTGAGGTTTAATCCGGAAAAAAACACAAAATATAAGGTTTTTTTTTTTTGAGATTAACCCTTTATTCTATCATGGAATGGAATGAAAAATCACAATATAACTCATTTTTGCTTGTGCATCTAATAATAACTCAATTCTTTTCTAAAAAGTTCAATGGTTTTAGTTGAAGTTCAATTTATTTTCTAAAATTAACTAGAAGTTTCTATGACCATATTGGTGTTTTAATCTTTTAAGAGCTTTAATAATGTATAGAGTAGAGTTTAAACTATACATTGTATTTGCATATAATATAAAAAATTCATATGAAAACAACCAACCAAACCCTAAATCTATTTTTTTTTTGAAGGGTATCCTGAGCAACGATAATAAAGAGCCAGATGCCCTTCTTGATGAATACCTTTTAAAAGATAAGGCTGAAGAAAGTGCTCCATTATCTTCATATCCAGAGAAGGTTAGATACCAAAAGCATAATTTTATTTGTAGTTATATTATATGCCTTGAGGAAACAAGTTACTAATTTCCATTTTCTTGTGATGTTAAAATGAAGGAAATAGCTGAGGCTGTGAAGGGTAATAATGACATTTACGTGTCAAATGATGGAAAGATAGTTTTGGATTTCTTGCAAGCCATTCACACAGCTGAAAAAAGACAAGAAGATTTGGATGCCCGTATTTTTTCTGAAGAAAAGAGGTTATTAAAGGCAAGACTATTTGTTTTCAAAATTGATATTGTTTTCCCTTTCTACCCCTACAACCCTACTATTGTTCCATTTCTGATTAATCTTTGAAATATATTTTAGGAGAAATATGACAAGGAGTTGAAAGATGCAAGAGCACGTGAACTCATGTATGCTGAAAGAGAGACAATTTTGGATAAGGTTGTTTTATATATCTACTTTTTGATGAACAATTTTGCCACTAATTTAATGGTAAATGTTGTGTGATTTGCATCTAAAATTATTATTATATTTATTTGTAGGAATTACATAAAGAAAAGGTGAAAGCAGCTGCAGCTCTCAAGTCACTTCAGGAAAAGTTAGAAGAGGAATTCAGAATGGAGATTGAAAAGAAGGTACAATCATATTTCCATTATTTAAATGCAAGAAATATAGAATCCCTACTTACATTTACTTTTAATTTTTTTTCCTTATTAAAGCATTTTACTTTCAAAGTTACACTTAATTGTACAAATTTACTTACAATTTTTCTCATATTAGGATAATATGCTTTGAAAATCCACCTAATTATAGCATTATAAATTCAATTTCAAAGTACAATGCTGTAATAAGAAGAAATGAAAGTAGAATCTTACAATGAATAAAAGTAGATTGCTATTGTTTTTATAGTTATTCGTGTAAATAGTAGATGTTGAAATTGTCAGGAGTCTGAAGCAGAATTGGAGGTAATGAAATTGAAGGATTTAGCAAAAGCTGAATTGGCTGCAGCAATTGCAAGTGAGAAAGCATCCCAAATTGAAAAAATGGAAGAGGCAAATCTCAATGTATGATCACATCAACTTAATTCTTTCATATTTCTTTTCTTATAATCATTAAAACTTATAATGCTGTAATAAGAACAATAAAAATACAATATGCTATAATATAATAATAACTAAAATTTTAAAAAGATATTAATAATAACTTTCCAAGGTGTAAACATTCACATCTAATCTAATCTAAGAAACATTTTTTTTCCTCTCTTTCTCTTTTAGTATAACATCAACAAATTAGTTTACTATTATTATTATTTTTTACCTTTTTGACCAATGCTACTTTATTAGAAACGTAACATACGCTTGATTACACATGTTAGGAAAGAGGGTACAATTGTAAATATGGTGACACAATCATATTTTAGTTGGTGTTTTTTTGACAGGAAATTAATGTTTTTTTTTTTATTTTTTAAAAAAATAAAAAATTATTATGCAGATAAATGCTTTGTGTATGGCATTCTATGCAAGATCTGAAGAGGCACGCCAGACACATTCTGTCCACAAGCTTGCATTGGTTTGTTTTTTAGACCATTTTCTTTGCCTTACGTATAATTATATGCTCTGTGGATGTGGATTTTTGTAATTAGGGTTTTAATTGTGTATTTTTGTTGATTAGTTTTTTCAAAATCTTTGCTTAGGTCCCATTAAGTATAAAGTTGAGTTTTAATCCGGAAAAAACACAAAATATAAGGTCTTTTATGAGATTAACCCTAATTCTTATGCTTACATAAGGTAATAGTAATTATATATAGCATACTACTTTCATTTCTTCCTATTACAACATTGTTCTTTGAAAAGTTCACAATGTAATCTAATTAGTAATTAGTATTACAAAGCTATTTTCACTTAAAAAATTGGGTAGATTTTTCAATGTATAATGTGTTAATAAGAATATAATTTTTCAAAATACAATGCCTTAATCGCAAGCACAATGTTGTAATATAAATAATTAGAAGTATGATGACATAATACAAAAAATAAATGAAAGTACATTGCTATTTCTTGTATTTAACCCTTACATTACATTTCGCCATTTTATTGGATTAAAGCTCAACTTTATTTATTTATTTATTTATTTTTCTAAAAAAGCTCTTACATCTTAGTGTAAAACCGGAAAAAGATTACCGGTAAACCTGCTGAAAAGGACCAAATGGAAAATTGGAAAATTTAAGGTCTTTTTTAGGGAAAAAAATAAACTTGAGCTTTAATCTGGAAAAAACACAATATATAAGGTCTTTTATGTAATTAACCCTAAAAAAACAAAATCTGCAATGGTGTAATAGAAACAAATAAAAGTAGGATGCTATAATACACAAGTGAATGAAAGTATATTGCTATTTCTTTCATTCTTTTTGCAAAATAAATAGAATTACAGTGTTTTTTATTTTTATTTTTATTTTTGTGAGATAAATTAATTAAGATTTATATTTACAGGGTGCTCTTGCACTAGAAGATGCTTTGTCTAAAGGGTTGCCTATAGAGAAAGAAATAGAAGCTCTTAAAAGCTACATTGATGGAATCGATAAAGATTCCTTATTAGGTTTGGTCATTGCATCACTTCCTGAAGACACTTTAAAAAATGGGACAGATACCATACTCCAATTAAATCACAAGGTAATCCTTTCTACGTGCAAAAAGACGTAAACGCCCTCCTCATTTAATTTATATATATATATCATGTTTTTTTCTTTTTATAGTTTGATGGGTTGAAAGGGACGCTGCGACACTTCAGCTTAATGCCACCAGGTGGCGGTGGAATATTGGCCCATTCATTGGCTTACATTGCATCCGTATTAAAGGTGCCTTCAGATCTCTGATTTCCTCTTTCATTATTATTAGTATTTTAATTTTCTATTAGGCATGGACCATTTTTCTAATTTTTTAAAACACATGGACCAAAGAGTATTATACTATTTAAACAGATGGACCATTTCTGTTAAAAAAATATGCAGGGTCCTTTTCTGTAAATTATAAGGCGAGCTTTTGTAATTTATTTTCTACACAAGGACCAAACCTGCCAACATATAAAAGTATTGTGGCCAAAGTCTAAAACCCAAACGTAAAAAAATACATCTGTAAATTACAGGAACAATTTTTGTAATTTATTTTCTATAAAGGGGCCAAACCTGCCAGCATATGAAACTATTGTGGCCAAAGTCCAAAACCTAAAAGTATACTTTTCTATACAGGGACCAAACTTGCCAACATACGAAAAGTATTGTTGCCAAATTCTAAAACCCAACCGTAAAACAATACATAGGAACCTTTTCTGTAAATTACAGGAACAATTTTTGTAATTTATTTTCTATAAAAGGGCCAAACCTGCCAACATATGAAACTGTTGTGGCCAAAGTATAAAACCCAAAAGTATACTTTTTTATATAGGGACCAAACCTGCCAACATACCAAAGTATTATGGCCAAAATCTAAAACCCAAACATAAAAGACTACGTAGGGCCCTTTTCTGTAAATTACTACAGGGACAATTTTTGTAATTTATTGTCTATACAGAGATCAAACCTGCCAAAATACGAAACTATGTTGCCAAACGTAAAGAACATACCCAGGGATCTTTTCTGTAGTTTATAGGGACAGTTTTTGTAATTTGTTTTCTATACATGGACCAAACCTGCCAACATACAAAAAATATTGTGGCCAAAGTCTAAAACCTAAAAATATACTATTTATATATCACTTGCTTTATAATAATGATTAAAATTTTAGGTGAAGGAAGCGGACAAGTCAGGTGATGGAATCGAGTCAGTAATAAACCGGGTAGAAAGTTTGTTAGCAGATGGGAAGCTTCTAGAAGCTGCAGAAACACTTGAAAATGGTCTAAAAGGAAGTCAAGCAACAGAAGTTGTAGGTGACTGGATTCATCAAGCAAGAAATCGTGCTATCACTGAACAAGCATTAACTCTCCTCCAATCTTACGCCACGTCAGCAAGCTATACTTGATTTCAAAATATCATCCACCATTTTCAAAAACTCACTTTCACTTGTTACACATCTTGAGTCAACGTGAATAAAGAATTTTTCAACTGTGGTTTTGAGTTGACACCATTTTTGGTTGCGAATAAGCTTGTTTTTTTTCTTCTTTTCTTTTTGATTAATTTGTAAACAAAATTGATGAGAAGTTGTATAAGATTAACGTATGAGTGATCTTGATGTAATAACTCATGATTTGTTAAATCGAGTTGATTTGAAATTGGGATTAGCTTTTTAGAATTTAGATGGATGAAGATGGTAGGTAGGCTATGCATCACATTTTTTTTGCTATGTGGACATTGTGAATCCTCTCCATGATACGAATTTCGCTTTTTCAAAACTATGGAGTATCTTTTTCATATCTTCCCAAAATTAAAAAATGTTTGACATAAAAATCAAGAATAAAAGACTTTTTCCATCCATCCAAAATTAACAAAATAGACATATCGGTGAAGTATTTTATTTGGAGTAAAAAGTATATAAAGATTGGAAGTGTATGCAAAACTAATTATTCACATTTTTTTTAAGCAAATAAAACTTCTAAGAAAAATCAAGGAATCAAAGGTGTCCATCTAAAAATCTGAAATAATATCCAATTTATTTTCCAAATCAAGGGGCGTCCGTGGACACCTTTTGTATATACATATAGCAATATAACATCGTCCTTGTATCTTATAATTCTCCTGACAACTTCCCGATGATTTGAATAAGGTCTCTCTACGAGTGTACTAACCAAATATACAATTCACACATTGGTCTATTCGATGGATAAATTACGTGTGCCTCATTTGAATAGAAGGATAATTACATTCCGCATATGAATAATATCCGTAATAAGGTTGGAATAAAAATAAGGTGAATTAAGTACCTTAAAAGTCATAACATTGTGTTTGAAATCATGTATTTTACTAACAAGTTGTCAACATAACATATTCTAGGTGGCAAAACTCCTACATAGGTTGTCAAGATATTCAACCTGTTCAAAAATTTACATTTATATGAATAAGTAAAACTATTGAGAAATGTATAAATTACATGATATCGATAATAATTTTCTACTTCCATCGGTGTATCTAGTTATACTTGTTGGATTTGAAAAACTTTATTATAGAAATCTATATTGGTTAACACTTCTTTGAATACCCACATAATAAGGAACCTTTCGGTTATTTGTCAAGAATTCGGAAATGCTTACATGACATCTCCTACATTACATGATATCCATAATAATTAAATTAAATAAGAATGTACTAATCTATATTCTAATAAATGAATCCTTTTTGCCACATGACATATCCTACATTCATTTTTCTATCAAAGTTAAATTACTATTTTATCCTTCATCTTATATTAATTAAATTAAATAAATAAATCCTATATAATATATTCACCCGTAGAAACTATAGTCAACCTGTGTGATCCCAATATTATCTCCATTTTGATTGAATGTGTTCCTTAAAATAGCAACAATCTTTTAATATATCATCAAAAATTGTAATAAATCAGTATACAAATCATATCCCAATTTGAAACCGATTGACTAAGGACTTCCTCTATTTCATATATACCTCAAAAGCAAAAATAAATAGATCATTTGTACACCGCGTTTCTCGACTATTCTCCACCAATCCACGATTCATAGCCGCCAGCCTTATCTTCATCTGTCATCGAATTCGGACCTTCAAAACGCATAAAATCGTATCAGCTTACAATTATAATTCCAATCTTCATTACAGGTTTAATCTTGGTTATAAAATATTTGAATTTGGTGTTTGAGGCAGGAAGCAAATAGGTCATTTGCTATTAAAAGTGGGTATGTTCATATATTCCGTTTTTCGGTTCGACTTTTTGCCTCCTGGCGAAGACCATGGCTAAAGAAACGAAAAATATATGGGTTTCAATGTTTCTTTCACTATGATGGTATCTCTTTCATATTGCTCTTGCACAAGAAGAACATTCCCGACCGGGAGAAGTACCTCTAAATCAAAATCTATGAGATTTAATAGTTTGAAATTTATTTTCCAATATGATTTATAATTAGATCACTTTGTGTGTAGATCATTGCTTCGAGATTGCAAGAATCAGGCTACAGTTGTACTTTGTATGTATGTGGTTACCATTTGTAAACATCTTCCTAATAATTAACAAAACATAGATTTTTAGTCGATTTTTTAGATGAGTTATGACAGGTACACTTTGTTTTTCTAAATAATAGTTATGCCATACTCCAAGTATGCACACTATGTTTGTCTATGATCCTTACATTGTGATGTAGATCAATTGAACATGATTCCAATGATACTCATTTCACAATCCCAAATCCTTATTATAAATGTGAGAATCCCCGATTCCTATCATTTACCAAAAAATCTGTTAGATTTTAAACTTTTATGCAATGTTCCTCTTGTAATGATTATTCACAAAGTCACCAAAACCTTATCAGCAGTCATTACAGAGTATTCCAAAGAAGGTCAACTTCTATGGAACGGAAGTCTCATATTCAAAGTACATTGCTTTGAACATCCTTCTTGCATTAAGGTTTTCTAATCTTACATAGATTGAATAACTTCCACCTATGGAGACATTTGCATAGTCCCATTTTGACTATCACTTCCGAACAAGAGTTACTTCTTTTTAGAACATGTCAATACGGTCCTTTCCGACAACTTAGATCATACTTCCAACTTTCCCTGAGCAACCAATCTTTGGCGAACCTCAGATTTGTCCTCGACAATTGCTTAATCACTTTAGTCATATCTAGTTCTAGACTTTTCCCTTCTCAATGCCTTAAGCATTTGGAAAATTTAGAAAAGATGAATATTATAGCACATGCAATCGATCCTATATCCAAAGCATATGGGACACGATTCATGATGTTTGACATAAAGACATGATACTAGACCAGTCTTTTGCTACAATATTTTTTTATTTGCAATGTTTTCAAAATTTAACTATAAAGAGGGATGCCGTAGTCATAATTGAATTTTGAGAACGCAATATATATAGAATTTCCTTAACTCGAACCATTCAGACATAAAATTCATATATATGTCCTTGACTAAAGATGATCTCAATCTAAGCTTCTAGAATTGAAATGAAGTATAATTTCCTCTCCCTTAATTATAGCAAAACAACTTTTCAACCCTTGCAACTTCACGAATTGAAACTTTGTTTTCTATAATTAACATTGCTAACTTGCAACACTAAACATAATAATCATGCTCCCACTAACATGATGATTATCAGCATAACACTTATGCTCCCACTAGCTCTGACATATTTCCAGAAATCTGCCGGACTTTTGAAATTTAGATTCATACACCCTTTCTTAGATAGCTCACCTGTGTGTCTAAACAATTTTCAGAACTATGAAAAGGTATGCCGTAATCATAGTCTCAATTGCTTAGGCATTTTCCATTTCTCACAAGTCCATGTTAGTGTGTCGGTTAACCACACACGCTCCACTAACGACTTTTGAAAATGAAAATAACACAATTGATATCTACGTAAAATCTAGTTAGTGAAAGCGTTTCCTCACCATCATTTTCATGAATCGGAGAGAAACCTTATGACACTTAGATTTCATAGTGTATGAGTTCCTATCCATGTGAATTTGTCAAAACCATAATCACAAGATAAGGTTAGTGACAAATTCAGCCTTACATGGATTAAACTTGTTCAATCTTAGTTTCTTGTCACCTTGGCAGCACAAGGCCCACCAATGCTTCCAAGTTGAACTCTGATAACTCACATGCAAATTCAACTTATTTAAAGTAGGTACAGAAATAAGAATTATGTCAACACGATAGGTTGCAAACCTTAAGTCGTGTGCTAGTGATAAATTACAGGTTTTACTCTTGATTAAATCTTGAAAGTCTTTCAGGATCTTTAAGGCTCCCACTGTCCCCTTGACATATAAGTTTTCCCCAGTCAAGAACCATTCCTTGACAAAACAAATATTCAAGGGATAGTTCGGATTCTTATCAATACTAACACTTCACACAATTGGTCTTAGTTGGTCTTTGTCTCATCCAAGACATCACAACTTACCAATCTCAAATGTACAAGGGTAGAAACATTTTACTCTTACATTTGACTAGTGTTAATAAATCTTCCTTTATGTCACTCAATGTTACAATCTTGGAGTATGAATCTAAGAATTGTTTTGGAACGAAGTATGACTCATCTTCTTGATTTTAACCAATGCAACAATTCATGACCTCTCTTCTTAGCAATAACAATGCACCAAGACATCCTTAGAGTATGAATTTGTGATATGGTTTCATAATCATTAAGATGATCATGAAATATGATACTAAAGTACTCTCCCATCCTTTCAGATTTGAGAAGCTTTTATCTTTCGGCCTAATTTGATTCTTCTCATTTGTTTTGTCATACATTGTAACCTTTCCAATGTTACAGAATTATACTTAACCTTATAAGTATAATCATATTTACTAATCTTTAGTAAATCATAACAAAACAATCTTTGTGGTGGACCTAGACCAACGCACACCCAGTGTACCTAATTCCTTAGTCCTTCAATTGACTCACATACACATGTGATCAAAGAATTAGTCTTAATTTTCAAAGATGAAAATTCTCATTCATCATACAATACAACTTGTATGATTCCAATTTTCTGTCCAATTGAAACTTGGGTGATGAAAAACTTTCTTCATTTGGTAAATTCAGACACTGCCACAAATGAAAGATTCAAATCCACTTTCCAATATTGCTATTACTGGAAACATATAAGCAACAATTTTCCACAGATGCCATTGTAAGGATATTTTTAAAATAAATAAAATTAAAACCTTTTTTTTTATTTTAAAACTTTGCGGAAAAACTTATCCTTACAATCCACATAAAAACCTTGTTGTTATCTATTCATAAGCAATATATTATAACTCTTAAGCAACAGCTCAAAATTCTGATTACTGAACCATGCGATCGAAACCCACCTTCGCAATCGGAATCAACATATACTTACTTTAAGCTTCCTATCTTTTATTTGATTCTTAAAAACATCAACATGTGACCCATTCACATTATGTAATAAGAATCTCCAACTAGGAACTTAATAGAGTTAGTCAGTGGACTTTAACTGAAGTAGAGTCAAACTTTTTGACTTGATCAATCTTATGATCTTTCAGGTAAATATGGCAGCTTTGCAATCAGTGTCCCTCCCTTTGGCAATAAAACATATAGACCCTTTGGTAATG